TGGTGGACCATGTCACACCACTGTGCTTGACTGTGGTGCACAGCAGGCATCACTAGACGGAACTTCAGACACGAAGGCACAAGGCACAACCTCTAGGGCACATCACAGTGCAGGGCAGCAGAGAAGCGAGAAACCTTGAATGTCATTTTTGTTACTTTTGCTTGTTAAACAACCCTTCACATACATATGGTTATCAACGATAACTGTGCTTACCAACTGGCTGGCTTAATTTTAAAAACAAAACATTGTGCAACAGGACCTTGGTTGTCCTATAACTCCCTATGGGCAGTCCTTGAACTCACTGATCTGCCTGCTTCTGGTTCCAGAGTACTGGGATTAAGGGTATCACAACTACGTCTGGCTTAATTTTGCTGACTTCAACAAGTCCCTGCTACCCCCTTCCTGTCTCCAGACACTACTTCATTTTGTGACACTACCCTATTAGAGAAAATTCATGTTTGTACAACTGAGAATTGCACATTCTCATGTCAGTACCACAGAGTAAAATGTTATCTAATAATAACATTATATCCAATGTTTATCTAGTCTAATTTGATTATAATGAAAAATTTAAATGATTTGTATATCAGCACAATATTTGATATGCGTCTCCTTATTTTTTTTAATATTTATTTATTTATTATGTATACAATATTCTGTCTGTGTGTGTGCCTGAAGGCCAGAAGAGGGCGCCAGACCTCTTTACAGATGGTTGTGAGCCACCATGTGGTTGCTGGGAATTGAACTCAGGACCTTTGGAAGAGCAGGCAATGCCCTTAACCACTGAGCCATCTCTCCAACCCCTCATTTTAGTTGATAGTCACCAAAACTACTTTAAACAAAAGTTTGAAACCGACTCTCTACTAACTGATAAAGAAATCCAAATATAATGCAACACATTGGATTTCAATGATTTTTTTTTTAAATCAGTGTCTCATATAGCCCAGGCTATGTATCACCTGTGAACTCCTAATCCCCTGGCCTTTAGCTCCCAAGAGGTTGTGATTACAGGTCTGCATTACCATGCCATAGGCTAATATAATTTTCAAATAATAAAACTCACTTTTAGCTAGTTTTCTTTAAAAAAAGAAATGTGTGACTTCTTTGGTGTAACAGAGTAAACATTACTTTGAATAGCAGAAATGGGTTTAATTTTAAAATTCTCAATCTTTCTAGCCATTTTACACTGTGATTATAGTTTTAATAACATAATAGGAATCACTATATATTTTCTACACAATATTTAAGTTTTCTGCTGAATTAAATGATAATGTATATAGTAATCCAAAATCAATTCTGTGGAATTCTATGGAATTTAGCAATAGACACCCCCCACTTAAAGAAAGTAGGTATATTCTACTAAAGACAACCCTTTCTAAGTTTAGAAAGAAGTCAGAAACTTTAAACATTACTACACTAGAAGACAAAGAAACACCATACGTCAATACTAAGAAGTGTTGGAATTACCAGAGGTGGTTTGAGGCTAGGATGCGGGGATTTCATCCCTTCTTTCCCTTAAGAGCATGTGATTTTGCTATATTAACCTTCCCATGCCTCAGGTTTCCCATCTGGAAAAGGGAAAACAATAAAACTGCTGCTTTCTATGGCTGTTTGCAGTATTAAATAGGTAGCCAAATCCAAGTATGTAACAGGACACCCAACATACAGGAAGTACTAGCTGCTATTAAAACCTATCAAAAGAAAATTTAGTCTCACTTCTTTACCCACTTTTTTAATAACTAAGGCTCTATGGATGTGGGTCCACAGAACACCAGCAATGTAAATGGACCCCAAATTTAATGGTGATCACACCAGTAACCTCAAACCCTTGTTCTCAAAGCCCTATTATTTCGTCAGGGTGCTTCCAGGATGTCTTTGAGACAAGGCTTCATGATGTGGCTCTGGCTGGTCTACAACTCTCTACGTAAACCAAATTTAACCTTAATTTTGTGGCGATCCTCCTGCCTCTGCCTTCCAAGTGTTACCACATCTAAGAGGTGGGCCTCATAAACTTTTATCTCTGAAATAATGCTTATTAATTTAAACATTTGGCAATTCTCCCTCCAAATTACTGTCCTGAGGCCATTTTAAAATGCCTTTCCACTTTCCTCGATGTACAATGTTTAAGGAGAATTGAGGGAAAGACCCAAGACAGTAGACCAACACATACACTAGTGAGTCCCTTCAAGATGAGCCCTGCCCTCCTGGTGTTCTCGGTCTTCCTTAGCATGGCACCCAGTTTGACTCCTCTGAACCAAACTGGCGGGCTTATTAGATCACGGATATTTTCTTCTCAACTCCTAATTAATTCTATTTAGGTTGATAAGTATGACTGATTTAAATACAAGTTAAGTTTGGATTATGGTGGAAAGATGGTAGATGGGTTTTATTTATGCTGACTGGTGGGGGGAACAACTTGGATCAGAGAAGACACAGTGAGAGCAAGGGGCTCAAGCCTGACTTCTGTGCTACTGCGGAACCTTGCTTGACTGTCAGTTACACAGAGAATGCCAATGGTCCAAACAGATGCATCCCCAGAGAGTTCTCTGACCCTAGTTTTTTTTTTTTTTATTAATTTTTAATTTTTAATTTTTTAAACCACTTTGGGAAACAAGTCCTAATAACCACCACCAGTTACCTTTCTCTCATTTTCCATGTAGAGGAAGAAGAAGTAGCTGTTCAAAGATCTTAGGCCAGGCTTTCAAAAACAAAGTGTTTAATGTGGGAAAGAAAACTCCACCAACTAATCCTAGTGCGGGAGTCGACTGAGTGAGCTAACAGAACCTCTTTCTCCAGCAGCCCTGTCCCCAGGTGTGCTCACTGCTCACTCAATTCTATTTGAGGAGACTTCTTCACAGGTTCAAAGGACGGTTCCATGAAACTGGTGTATAGCCAGCTTCTGTCTGATGTGATTATTAAAAATTATTAAAGTAAGATTATTCTTAAAGCATTAGATTAGTTGGGAAGTTAAAAGAATATTTGTGGTGGCCAGGCGGTGGTGGCACACGCCTCTAATCCCAGCACTCGGGAGGCAGAGGCAGGCGGATCTCTGTGAGTTCGAGCCCAGCCTTGTCTACAAGAGCTAGTTCCAGGAGCGGAAACAAAAAGCTACAGAGAAACCCTGTCTCGAAAATCCATAAATAAATAAATAAATAAATAAATAAATAAATAAATAAATAAATAAATAAATAAAAGAATATTTGTGTTTTTGCTATTTAACCTTCGTCTATTTGGCATTTAACTTTTGCTTCTCACTTTGAAACCCACTGCCTTTAAATTTCAGGAGCAATGCTTTGAGAATACTATGTGGCAGGGTGTTTACAGTATTGCCGCTTCTTGGGTGGCACAATGTATGCCTGGTGATTAACACCGTAGTTAAGGCATGGCGCAGGACCAGCATGACACATCTTAACACGTTTTCTGGTTGGAAGGGGGATTTACCAAAGTTGTGCAAGAACTTCACAGTGGTTGAAAATATGTGTATGGTTGTTTTAAAACATAAAACTACAACATGAACTGTTTACAAAATTGATCTATTCAAGATTCTTAGAAACCTGAAACAGCAAGCTCATATTTTCTATTATAATGGCATCAGCAACCAAAATAACAAAATCCGTTGTACTTCAACCAACATGTCTGCTAATTATCGTTTGACCCATTTGCTGGGAGGAGGAGGAGGAGGAGGAGGAGGAGGAGGAGGAGGAGGAGGAGGAGGAGGAGGAGGCGGAGGAGGAGGAGGAGGAGCCGTCAGGCGGTTCAATCCCAGTACTTGGCAGGCAAAAACAGGAGATCTCTGTGAGTTAGAGGTCAGCCTGGTCTAAAAGAGCTAGTTCCAGGACAGGATTCAAAGCTAAAGAGAAATCCTGTATCAAAAAACTTAAAAAAAAAATCCAAAATCCAAAATGAATGAGATTAAAGGTAACTGGAAAAAAACGAGAGGAGAGGGAGGGAGGGAGGGAGGGAGGGAGGGGGAGTGTGTGACAGATATTGAGATAAGGTCCTTGCTGTCTACAACAGGACAATTTTGATGGAGAGACATTTTCAGTGGGTTGATACTAGGAATGTGTATGTTTGTACTATATTTGTATGACTGAGTTCGATGGTTAGCAATGGAAAAATGACACTTTGATTCTATGCTAAGAGGAAAGGTTTATGATTCATAGGGGAAAACAGTTTGAGACTTGGCCATCTATAAAGACAAAGACATTATTTTCCTGAAATTGGCTTTTTCAGCGATTACATAAAATGCAGGAGGGTGCATCAAAAGCATTTCAAGAGGTAATCATCTCCAGCCCTGAAGGAAAGCAGCATGTGGACACTTTAGAGCATGCGCCCACCCTGAGCACCAAGACGCTGTTCATACATGCCTCAGATTTATTTTTGGCACTACAAAGTCAAACGTGTTTTCAAAAATATTATTTTCTTAATTTGTTTTCTGTAGGCAAAAATATAAAAAAAAAGCATAAAATAATCTCAGGGAAAAAGCAAACTACAGGAAGAAGCTGCCACATGATGTGTTTGACTTCACAAAGGAATCTCTACTGGATTAGAGCCTTTCGAGCCTTCATCATTGAGGATGTGAAATTCTAGTCAAGAAACACTGCCAGCGAACTGTGCCTTCATCACAGACGCTGAATACTGAAACAGGACGCGTCTTCCTGCGTCCTTACTTGAGGATTACAGACTGGCCGCTCACTTGCAATTATGCCAATCACTTGCTGTGCAAGCTGAGAAAACTCTGGGGCTGTGGGGAAAGCCGGGGGCACCAAGCTGAGTTCACCAGATGAAAAGTTCCATCGCCGACGCGCCTCCACATCCTTGGTCTTCAGGGAATGGCTGAATTTTATATAAAGCCTATTTATAAACCCCTGAAAGTGATACTTGCATTCACCTCGCAATGTGACATCATCTCATCAATAATTTAGGCTTAAGAAATAGATTCAAGGGACTCTGAAGGAACCTCACACATGGAAGCACAGAAACCGTCCAAGTCCTCTTACCTTGCTCCTTGATCTGGCGAATCTGCTTCACAGTTTCTTTTAAGATTGCACATTTGTCAGGTTTGAAGTTGAAGTTGTCGATATCATTAAAATTTGCAAAAATCAGCTCTGCAAGCTCTTCGATGTACTTATTTTCCTGCTCACGATTACGTTTCTCGGTGCTCCTTTTGGGACTAAGAAGGAAGGTGGATTATTTGAGAAACGCTGCTGTAAGAATGACAAACACGCTAAACTACAGCTAACACGAACATGGACAGCAAAGTTGCCCGTTAACTAAAGCAGTTAAGACCAAAGCATAAAACGTCCTAGAGGGTTGTATGCTTTTAAAAATTCTCTTTTTGTCCTGTGTGGGGCTGTTCCCGGATGTGTTTCATCCCCCAGCCTCACACAACTTGGTCAGGATGGTCTACCATTGTTGTGCCTAGCACTGCACTTACTGCCAGAGAGGGAGTGGGACTTTGAAATGATAAGGAAGGGGGGTTATGTTAATAGAAGTTCAAATTTTACTTAAGATATGATTATGAGGTGGGAATTAAAGTTAATTAACATAATTATAATTGGAATACATGGATTTCAATAACTTTTTTTTATAAATATAAAAGGTAATAAAAACAAATATTTCTTTAGAATGTTTGCAATCCGATCAGAAAATGTATCAAGTCCTAGTACAGTTTGGAGCAAAGTGCAAGTGACCCAGGACTCCAAGTTAACTGTCCAGACCAAATGACCAGCAAGTGCAAACAAATTTTAAAAAAATCTTAAAAGTTCAGCTGAACTTTAATGGATGACGAAAAACATCAAAATTGGCAAAAACTTCTCATATGAATCTGACAGAACAACGAAACTCCAAAGATCCTCTTGAAAACAATACAATTACTTGTTTAAGCACATTGAAGTTCATAAAGACCTCCAAAACAATACCAAAGGGAAGAAACTTGAGTTGTTTAGTTTTTGCATTTAACAACTTATTTATGGAATATTAATTTAAAAATTTGTAAATCCGGAGTCCTCATGTTAGAGTATAAATAATAGTTTTAGTTTCCTAAGTTAATTAAGCTATGATTTTTACACAATTCTTCCCTTATAGTGGCTCCATGATTTCAGCAAGATTACCCAGTGAATTACTGCAGGGCAGGGCAGGGCGGGGCAGGGCAGAGGGTCAGGGTTTTCTAGGACTCTTTTCTGCCTGTGCACCTTGTTTATTAAGCACAGTTTTAGGAAGAAGATGGCTGAAAGGCTTACAAGAGTCCAGTTCCCATGCTTGCTCCTCCCCTAGGCTTTCCTGGGCTGGGAAAAGCATAAATGAGAGGAGGTGAGAAAGGGAACTGGGTTACAAAGACCTTAAGAGTTCACCATAACCAGGGGCCCCAAATGAGACAACACAGCAGCTAGAACCGCTTTCTCCCCCAGGGGGCTCAAAGCATGATGGGAAAGCTGGGAAACCGCAGTAGGCAGAGCCAGAAGCAGCTGGAGTGTACAGAAGTCCTGGGGACCCTGAGGCACAAATGCCTGCAGCAGGGCCAGTGTGTGGAAGCGGAGTTAGAAGGACCTCCCTAACCTCGTTAGCATCCCTCACAATCTATAGACATGCTGTTGGTATTTCATTGTAAAAATCATTTGAAATATTAGTGTCTGAAAAAGCCTTCTTTGTGGTTTAAAGGAGAAATGCACTCCCCCATGTGCGCAGGCGTTTGAATACCTGGCCCCAGTTGTTGGCCAGGTGTGGATATGGAGGAGGTGAGGTTAGGAGGGGACGCCTTTCAGAATGAACAGTGTGCTCTACTTCTAGTTTGTGCTCTCAGCTCCCTGCCCGACCCGCCTCCCTGCCTGATGGACCTTGTTCCTCTGGAAAGGTAAGCTGTATGAACTCTTCCTTTCATGATGCTTTTAGTTGTGGTGCTTCGACAAGGCAACAAACCATAACACTCTTCTTCGTTTCCTTTCTGCATGGCTCTAATCTACCAAACTGTGTGCCAACAATCACTGTTGCCCTACACCACAAATGCAGATGCTTCTTCCTCTTCCAATTCGTCGTTTTTCACTAACGGGGCAGTATACTCTAAACAGTTTTTGAACTTTGTCTTTTCGCTCTCATCTTTTGGGATAGTATCTAACTATATATGTAGCCTTGCTTGGTCTTGAATTTCTCCTGCCTCAGACTTTTGGGGCTGTGCCCCAATATTTTAGGAGGCTTCTAGACATTCTAACTTCATTGTTTTATCACAGTTCCACCGTGTTCCAGGGTACACACCATCAACTTAAAATGTTCTCAGCAAAAAGTTTTTCCTCATCTCTTATGAATCTAAGCGAGGTTCAAATGAGTAACCTTACACCTTCTGCATTCTGCATATACAGATGCCATCCTGAGGAAATCAGTCATTCACAGAGGACATGGATTTGTGGTTGTGATAGTGCACATTAGCCTACAGCAAAGCTGGCCTAGTAATGGTACCCCAACACGGCAAGAGGCACAGCTTGTTTCAGCACTGTTCTATCCACTGAAGAGCCACAATTTGCTTTCAACTCAATAACTGGATTTAATACTTCATGTCATTAAAAAAATAAGACAAATAAGAACTCAGCATCAAACTAACATCAAATCTTTTCATTACAGAATTTATTTGTTACAACCTTCTGTGACCTAATAGAAAAGAAAATACAGAAAACTCGAAGATTATAACAACGAACTGATTATAAGAGTAAAATACACAAGGGACAGTACACAAGTATATGGAGCAATTTCCTAAAAAAAAATCCATATGCTCAAAATTTAAACCATTACATATACTAATATTTCACTGTTAAAGAGAAAAGTCAAGCACGATATTTAAATTGAGAGTAAAGTCAATGCTTAGATAACGAAGAAACATGCACAATGCTTTACCAGACAAGTTTTTTCTGTAAACAATAGTCTAACCTGGGTCCAAGCTGGTCAGTGCATTCCTTGCGTTTTCTTGTCTCTGCCCTGGATGGGTCAGAGGTGTTTTCTCCCATCCCACTCATCTTGAATACATATCAGCAGCTAAAACAGAGAACAGGTGAGGGGATGAAGAGTACAATAAAGTGTCACATTGTTTTGCCAATACTTAAGGAACTTTGACTTCAATCAGAAATTATTTGACAACATGCTGTTTTGATATATGTGCGTGTATAATGTAAAATTAAAGTAGCTTTCTCCCCGTTCTTTTTGAAATGGAGCTAAGCAAATGGAAAGGTTAACACGTGAGAAATGAACCCTCCTAGCTCACCGAGCTCACCAGCACCATGAGCTGTTCTCGGCCAGCTTGGGTCAGACTACAGCCTCCAGTTCCAAGGGTGCTCGGGCACCATGGAGATGAGGTGCTGTAAGGGGTTCCTCCCTGCGTTTATAGTTGGCCAATATTGAGACAGCTGGGGGAAGTGGGAGGGTTCCAACGCAGATTTGATCCCCTTGTAGTGGCCCTGCACAAGGCCCCTAAAGCAGTGCCTCTCAAATGGAGGTTCTTCCTGCCTCCCTCAAGGTTCAAGGCTCTACCTCCAGCTCCTCCCTCTTCCTCTCTTGGCAGTCCTTGTCCCTCTTAAGCCTCCCAAGATGGATTCCTTTCATACATTCCACTAGACTGACTTTCCTTCACTTAGCAAGTCCAGTTGCTATCACCAAAGGCCAAATGTGACTGAGGTATATAAGGATAAAATGACCGTCCTAAAAGAGATAACGCCTACAGTTTAGAGAAAAACACGTAAGAGTTACTTAAGAGGTTTAGTGTCTGCTTGACAAAGGGAAAAAGCACAGCTCAGAGGTTGGCATTTACGCCTTTTCTAGAAACCCATTCTATGCTCTTTCTCCTTCATGCTGAATGTCTGCCGCCCTGCTTTACTTCTCTCTAGATTAGGAAAAGATGGTGAGAAGACAAAGAACCTCAGAAAGTCACCAGCAAGAGCAAGGGAAAAACAAAAACAAAAACAAAAAAAAAACAAAAGTTGGGTCAGGGAAATCAGCAGAGAACATCTAGGCATCAGGGTCACCTACCAGTCCAACTGTCTGCAGTCTCCTTGGGTGTAATCCCAGACCTCATTCTCAGTGGCCCCGCAGTTACTGCCCCGACCACTGTTCTGATCCAGTGGGCAGTCGGGCCAGTTGTTTTCTCTCTCCCCCTATCTTTTTGAGAGTCATGTGTTTTACAGAGCCAATTGTTTTTAGGGAGTCAAAATGAAGAAATGCTGCATCAGCATGAGGGAGGTGACACCGATGGAACATTCAATTCAGGAGGTCACATGGAAGGGACAATCTGAGAACTGACGCCTGAGCTTCCCGCGGGCAGGCAGGTGGGAGCAATGTAACCAAGCCTCAAGGACCAACTCTCTGCTTAGTTTTTTGCAGAGTAAGAACTCTATTTAGTTAATATTCATTTAGTACATATGCTATGTACTAAAGCTTACAGAATCAAAGCCCGGCTATGAAACCTCTATTGCCAAGCCACCATGTGCTAGCCTTTAAGCCCAAACTTTACCACTTGGTTAGCCATGACCTTAAGACGCATTGCTACTTGCACATTAATGATGTTCTGCAAAATGGAATTACCACTGACACCCACAGTAAAATTGCCCCAAGAAGGGGCAGGGCCTGGGACTTACAGAAAGCCACTGCTGAGGCCCTGCCTCTTCCCTGACTTGCCTGTCACCTACCACAGGCAGAGGCCTGAGGGAGAAGTAACAAGATCTCAAGTTCTGTGCATGATGCGATGGTTCTCTCACTACTTTCCTGTCTCTGTAGATGGCCATGGTGGTGGGGAACAGAGGGAGTGCTGCTTAAGACAGGGCAAAAGGGATTAATTCCTATACAGGCAACACTCCAACACATACAAACAGCCCTTACTATGCGGCATGTGCTTCGGTACCGAGATTTAAGAAACATATGCTTGGGCTGGGTACCCAGGCCACTATGGGAGGTACAGGAGACAACATGCCACAAACATTCATTTTTACTAATGTTTTCTGAACCATAATTCCCAAGATTTTACTTATCACCATGCAAGGAAGAACCTCACATCTAGTAAACTTCCAAAAAACTATCCAGGTCATTCCCATAGAATTGGTTGTGAACAAGTCATCAAAATACAAGTATGATTCAAACAAAGTATAATCTTCACTAGATAGCAAGAACAAGCCCCCCAAAACAAACAAGAACCCCCACATAGGTAGATATAGGTGATATTTTATTTAAAATAAAACATATAACTATCACCATGAATACTGACTCCCACAGCCAGAAATCTCAGAGACCTCAACGGTTAGAATAAGTGTCTGTTAGAGAATCTGTGTGGGATTGAACACTGGCTTTCCTGTCGCACACCTTAAATTTACACACAATATCTAATGTCCATGAGTAGTCGACACTCACAATTTCCACGAAAGGACTTGAAGAGATGAGCGGATCAAGAGTGTGTGCATTCTGGCCCAAGAGCAGTAAACCCAGGGAGTACATGTCTGTATCTTATTTGTACCTTCTCCAGATTAACTCAAAAACACTCTATTTGTACTATTAAAACATCGTTTGATTCTGCTGGGTGGTGGTGGCGCATGCCTTTAATTCCAGCACTCGGGAGGCAGAGGCAGGTGGATCTCTGTGAGTTCGAGACCAGCCTGGTCTACAGAGCTAGTTCCAGGACAGGCTCCAAAGCCACAGAGAAACCGTCTCGAAANAAAAAAAAAAAAAAAAAAAAAAAAAAAAAAAAAAAAAAAAAAAAACCAAAAACAAAACAAACAAAAAACCCATCATTTGTTTCCTCCTGAGTTTACTTATATGCTAATCTTTCCTTTTTAATATATAAGGGTTCCTTAAATACATTTCCTCAGCATATAAAAGTTTCTACATTTTGAACACAATGGTTCCTGGCTCATACATTTTTTTTTCGTGTGATTTCCCTAGGTTACATCTCTCAAGTATACAAATCCAGCCTTTACATTGCAGAGGGAGAGGAGGGACAGCAAGTCAAAGAGGACCACCTGACCATGCTTCATCTCTCTGGGAGAGGCCATGGTGGCCACACATTCACTGCCAATCACTGATGGTAAATAAGGACCCCTACCCCAAGGAAAGGCAGTGGGTAGTTTCCGGCTGAAGCAGAAAGAGGGCAAGGAGGAGTGTGTCCTGAAGCATACAGGCTTGTGATCTGCTCTTTAGTGGGTTAGACAACATGCAAGCCTCAAGAGTCAGGGTGTAGAACAGCTCTGTGGATCTCTGAAGCAGGGGACTCTCTGGCATTTTCCATGCCCCATGTGCCCGACATTTTACCTGTAGAATGTGGCAGAGCCAGGGGAGTTCACTGTTTTCCTCACCACTCAAGATACTGGGCAGAGCAGAAATGCCATAGGCAGACGACATAGATAAGCTCTGTCTTCAGGCTTACATAAGAATACCAGAAGCAAATAAACCACATACAGAGACGAGTTCTAATGTATTTTTGTAGATCGAAGTTGAAATTAATTTCCAATATAAAAGTAGGAGGTGGACAATACTCAAGGCACATTCTGGAGTGGGTAAGCAAGTGAGCCTGCGCGTTTCTACATGTTTTCAACATGCTTGAGTATGCCTCTCTAAGACTGTTCACGTAAATCACAGAAACAGGTCGTGCCACAAGAGGTAGCTGAGGATAGTTACAGTGAGTGAGTGAGAGCAAACCGGTTTCTACCAGATGACAGCTGCAGTGAAGGACAAGCCTGGAGAAGTTGTTATTTGTCCATCCTTGTTATCAATAGCCACACAATACAGTGCTTTCACTGTGATGGAAGGTCTTTCCTCCCATTCCTTGATATCAGATTGAATGTACTTGATAGAAGAAGAAAGAGCCACAAAATTCAGCAAGCTTCGTCTTTTAAAAGTAGCAATATTCTGGGAGGGAGGAACAATGCCCACAGTCAAGTTCTCAGCAAATGACAGAAAGCAATATAAAATGTCCAATCTCAAGTCAATTAAAGAATGCACTCTTTTCTTCATGGAACTCACCCATCTAACTTAGAAGGCCGCAAAGCTGCTGCTTGCAAAACAGCCTCGCAGCATTAGAGCTAGTTAATCACGCGGAATCCATGCAAGCGATAATGTGCACTTTATCTCTTATCAGCACAGACCATCTTCCAAACAAGGCCTGTAAAACTGTCAGATTTATTATATGCTGAACAAATTCAGTTAAAGGATAAGTAAGGATAATATCCTTGCTTAAATTCACACAGAATAAAGTGGTCAAGCACCAGGACTTCTCCTGGTTCTAAAAAGAAAGTTTTAGAGTCGAGCCCCTATTAAGTCCCCTACTTTGAGATGGAATTCAAAAGGAATTTTTCCTGGGGCAGAGACGATATACCAAAACAGCTCCTTTTATCCTCCCCGCAAGAAAACGGTATTTCCAACCGTTTTCTCTGTGTAGCCCTGATTGTTCGAGAACTCACTATGTAGGCTAGGCTGGCCTTTCCTGCTTCTGAACTGGTTCTCGATTTTCTGAGACAGCCTTATACTCTGTAGCTCACATAAGACTTGAACTCTCGGTCCTCCTGCCTGTCTCCTGAGTACTGGGGACAAACCTTCTGAAGACTAATAAACACTCCAGCATTACAAAAGCACATATAAACGAGCACGCCTCCATCCCTACTCTGTGGAGACCCTATTGTGCAGAAACTCACTGCGCTTCCCTAGTGAAAACAGCTGATTCTCAGTTCCCAGAAGTTCCTCTCTCAGGGTCTATCTACTATGTTCCAGGGAGGAGATTCTCTGTATTATACAAACTCAGAATTCTTGGCTATTCTCTGATACATCTAAGGAAACACAGTATCTAATACTTGAATGACTAAAACATACTGTTTGGCTGTGGATACTGGGAAAGGCAGAGGAAAGGAAGGACAAGTATTTTGGAAATACCTGCTTCCAAATAGTGTTCATTGCTCAAAATTATCCCAGGCAAACCATTCTGGTAAGACGCTAACTTTCATCAAAGGTTAAATAAACATTCATTCAAATGTAGTAAATACGCAGATTATGTAAAATATTTTCCG